AGGTGTTGGTAACACTCTTCAGGGAGTAACAGCATTTCTTAGAAGTTCATTGGTTAGGAGCTCAGTTGATTTTATCATGGAGAGAAAGACAGTGGAGGGCCCTGCTCACTGGGCACTGATGGCACCTTCCAGCATCAGGGCAGATTGGTGTAGGGTGGTCTGTAACCAGAGGTTTTTGCTGAGGGTGACTATTCAGCCTTATTGCACTGTGGCTTGTGTGCCCTGCTGTCCATCTCCACTCAGAGTGCTAACCCTGCTTGTCTACACAAAGCAGAAATGGCTTTACCTTCCCCTCCTTGAGAAATCAAGGACCCCTGAGGTGGATGCATCAGACAGTGGTCCAGGGCCATGCATCCTCCTCCTACAAACTCCCCATCCTCACACAGTGACCCCATGGTGGTGGCAGCAACATGGGGAACAGCAGCAGCACCTAGTGCTGTACCTGCCCCTCCCCTCCATGGCATTGCGCTGCTTGCGCAGGGTGCGTCACCTCTGATTGATGTCCTTTCCTCCAAGAAAAAGCTGGGAGAAGGGGCTGGCAGGTTGCGACCTGCAGGCTCCCAGCCGGGAAGCTGCCCCTGGCTTGTGTCAGAGGACAGCCCATGGGAAAGGGAGGGATTTCCCGGCAAAGCCGTGTCCCCGCAGGGTGGCAGCCTTGCCCAAGGGCTCCTTTTGTCCGTCGCTGATTTCGGCATCTGCCCGGGGCGCAAGGCAAGGAGGCACACGGACCCAACGAGGGTTGCACAGTTCTGGTGTTTCTGGTTTCTGATTGATATGCAAGTCAGCCAGAGCTACACAAAGATCAGGAGCAGTGTGAAAGCTTTCCAGGGTCTCCCCCCCCCCCCCCCCCCCCCTTTTTTTTTTCCTTTAAAGCAAATTCTGTTACGTGCAGCCACTGTAACCCCTCATCTGCCTGTCATTGTCATCAAGATTTGGCTTCTGCCGTACAGGTCTCTACAATGAGAGGTCAGAAAAGCAGTAACTGCCTCTGTTGTCCACAAAAAGGGCTCCAAACACATCCAAAACACCCCAGTATTCTCTCAAAAGCATGCAACACACGCTGGGCACACCTCAGCAGTTTATTGCTTTAGTGTTGGGCACGTGGATTTGGGAGATGCCACAGTCAGGTGACTGCGGTGGCATGGGCTCTGCCCCCGCTAACCCGGACTTTGTCCCTCCGGGGTGACCTCTTGTCAGGATTGGCTTGGAAAACCACCAGCCCGCGTGAGGAGAGCAGGTGACTGCGAGTCCCACGTTTCCCAGCTCCTGATTCAGCTGCAGGGCTTTTCCCAGGGGAATTGCAGCCGGGTCCGTACACAGCCCACACAGCAGTGCAGGAGCCAGGGTACGTGGCTGTGCTTAACTTGCAATTAACAGGCGCTTTTAAGGAAAAATGTAAGGTTGAGACATGACACAGACGTTTGTGGCACATGCAGGATAAAAATGAAATCCCAGGGGCTGGGGCGAGATGATGGAGTGATGCAAGTCAACCAAAACCCAGAGGACTTGTCCGTGCCTCCACGAACATATTCCAGCTGTCTTGTAGAGACCTACCATGCGCAGTGAGGACCCTTAACTCTTCAGGAAATGGTCCTTCTGCTTGGGAGGGGTAGGCTCAGCCCAGCCTGGAGAAGCTGCCCTGCCTCTGCAGGGATGCTGGCACCTGGGCTCAGCAAAGTCTGGTGCTACTAAGGAAATCCCTGTCAGCCACCCCACATCACCCCGTGGCTCTGCCTGATATCCTGCTTGTCTTGCCCTTTCCCAGCTCATGTCTGCCCAGAGAGCTGTGGGGGAAGGTTGCCAGTGGGCACTGCCACCACCACAACGCTGGGGAAGCTCTAAATCAGGGTCAGGGTGGGGGACACCCATCATTGCCCACTGCCTACAGATGTCTGGCAGGGTGGCTGCCACTCCAGCATGCTGTGGAGCACAGAGCTGTAGGAAATATATCTGCTTGACTGGGAAGGCACAGAAGATGATGGGGGCTTGAGCACAGGAGCAGTGCTCCTTGCTGTGACTGTGCCCTGCTCTCAAACCACAGTACTACCTAAACTGCAGTGACAATGATGAGGAGGTTCAAGGGGCATGTCAATTGGCTGCTTTGGGGTCATGGGAGAGACACAAATACCCCTGGGGTATAGGCAGAGGCTGATCTGCAAGGCCCTGGGGAACAGTGCAGGGACTCTCCTCCTTAATGCACTCATTGTTTCCAGAATGCACTGTCATATTTTACTGGATCTATTTTGGAATGGTTACTTGGGCTACGTAAGAGTTCAGAGGTGGGGAGGCTCTGTGGGGGATAGGTTGAGCATGTGGACCTCTCAAGAGGCTGGTGGACAGGGTTTTCTGCTGGGGATGACTACTCAGCCTTATTGCACTGTGGTTTGCATGCCCTGCTGTCCATCTCCACTCAGAGTGCTAACCCTGCTTGTCCACAGCATGCCACTGCATGGGGTGGATTGGCATGTCCCAGGGGAGCCAGTGACCTAGCTGACAGTCAGGTCCTTGCTGGGGAAAAGGGAATTTCCATGCTTTGCTTGCAGTGCTTTCTCTGTGAAGCGTTCACAGTTGGTTGATCATTTCATTAGCCTCCGATCAGGGGAAAAGGCACGCAGCTTAATCTAGAACCTCTGCTCTGCCTTTAAGGTCAACAGTGTAGTGAAGATCTGAACACATATGTATTTCAGCGTACACATAATTGCATATCCAATGCAACATTTGCACACATAATTTTATTTCCTTGATTTCCGTTGACAAGAGGAAATGACCTCAAGCTGTTCCAGGGGAGGTTTAGATTGGATATTAGGAGCAATTTCTTCACAGAGAGGGTGCTCAGGCATTGGAACAGGCTGCCCAGGGATGTGGTGGAATCACTATCCCTGGAAGTGCTCAAAACGCATGTAGCCTTCAGTGACATGGTTTAGTGGCGGACTTGGCAGTCCTATGGTAGCAGTTGGACTTGATCTTAAAAGTCTTTTCCAATCTAAATGACTCTATGATTCTATGCCTCAGATGCTGTGCTCAGACAAGCCGTACCAAAACATTTTTACATACTCACCCAACCATCCCTGCTTTCTTGCGAAGAACCAGCACTGGCCTTGCACCTCCGTTCCGCTGTTGCTCCCCTTCCCCGGCCCCGGCCCCGCTCCCCTCCGCTGCCATAGCCTTGATCCGGGGCGCCGGGAGGTGGCAGCAGCCCCTCGTCTTTGGGACCGAGGGGCCTCCCCTGCGTGGAAGAAACCACCCAACCGAAAGGTCACGCTCGTTGTTCTGCTGAGCATCTCCTGTGTGTTCCTCCAGAGAAATTCCCCCCCCCCCCCCCCCCGCAGATTTGTTTTTCTTTTTAATTTAATTTTATTTTTCTTTTTATTTTTTCTTTTTAATTTAATTTTATTTTTCTTTTTTCCCCCTCCCCCTGCAGCAATTATTCCCGTTTTCTTTTTCCCCTTCGCTTCAACAACGTGCCCAGGAGGAAGCAGAGCAGCACCATTGTCCACGCTGTCTCAGTTTTCCACCCACTCCGGCTGATGTCAGCCCGTCCCTGCAGGACTCTATGCGCTGCGGTCTGCCCTCCAGATTGCTAACTGCAATGGGCTTTTGGCTTCTTTTCACCGGGGAAGCTGCTTGGAGCTGAAGCCTCGCTCCCACTTTTGACAGCCCTTTTCCTCCTTGTTGAGCCATCCCCATGCTGAGCTGTGGACGGATGCCTGGAAGATGGGGCATACAGGGACACCCTGCCACCGGCTGACCTGGGGTGGAAACAAGGGGGAATCAGGGTGGGGTGGGGGGAATGCTCCCAAAGTGCTTTTTCTCCCAGCATGCAGGCCATTAGGGATCTCTGGTCAAAGGGGTCCCATTTAGTCCACCCTGGTCCCTTGCATGATACCGAGATGCCTGGATGAGGTCTCACACTGGAGCAGTATTTGGCTCCAGGAGTGTTTTTATTGAGATAAGTCACCATGTGCCTGTCACCAGTGCCCAGAGGTGAGCTACAAAGATGTTTGAAAGGAGCCTGCTTCATAGCTTTCAGTGCCGACTAAGGAAGGTCTGGGATTTAATTTCCTGCTTTTTTTGTTGTTGTTTGTTTTTACTTAGGGGAAATATTTGGGATGTCTAGCCTTGTCTACGCTGGTTTTGCTGGAAGGCTCCTTGGGCATTTCAGAGGATTTGTACTCTCTCACACTGTAAACAAAGCGTGTCAAATCCTTCCCAAAGATGCTGATTTTCCAAAGCATTCATTAAGAGCCTGACCTTTCTTCTCCAATAATTTATGAACTACTTCCAAACAGTCCACAAAACAGTAATGCAAAATGCCTGATTTATTTATGTGCATCAGCGGGCCATAGGGGTAAGAAACGCTATACATAGCTTTGTTTCAATCCCTTGGTATGTCATTATTTCCCTGTGAGGTTCACAACTCCAGAATATATGACTGTGTCCATGGGACTGAATCCAGGAAGCCCAACAGGCTTGTTCAGCCTCTAGCATTTTGGCTTCCCCTGGTGATTTCTGCTGCTTATTGATTTTCGACATGTCAGCTCAAAGTCTCACCTGAATTTAATGCGAAACAAATACCCTGTCACATCAACACAGGGAAAATGGAATACAATGAACTCAATTAGCAATGGCAGAGTGATTCAGTGGAGTCTGGGAAGGGATTTTGTAAAGAAAAGCGATGGTTCACAATCTGATAGGCAGTAGTTTCTCTAGCAGTACACACAGTAGTGAGTGAGTTGTAAGCCTGCCAGGCTGGCTTTTCTCCTCCAGGCAATACTAATGCCTATCATTTTAACTTGCTAAGAAAGGGAGCATGAAGTAAGAGAGATGTAGACTCCAGTGCATGGAAGACCCAAACAAGAAATGGTACCGATGGGTGAACCGATGAAGTTGGCTATAACAAAGATTTTTGTCTTCATCAGAAAAAGTAGCTCAGACATACTCCACCTTCTTCCCTGGGGAGCAGACAGGTAACTTGGAGACAAATTCTCCAGCTACAGTAGTAAGTATAGATCAACTGGTTTATGGTTCAGTAACACAAACTTAAAGAACCCCAATGAACACAACAGAGGCTATATGTGCATCTTTCATCTGGTTCCTCCCTTGAGAAGATACAATACAGAAGCCACTCCAGCATCTGAATTACTTGCAAATGCTCTCCAGCAGAACACAGCAGAGATCAGCGTGTGATCATTGTGCAGCTGGGCTGTACTGCTCTCCCTCCCTGCAGCTGATGCTCTGAGTCTGCCGTGATGAGGGTTTCACTGTCCTTTAAGCTCCTCATTCAAATCTATGCCTGGCAAACTGCAGAAGGTAGCCTCACCGTGTGATTTGCATATTTAGGTCATTAACCAAGCAGCTGAAAATGCATAATTTAACTGAAAGATTAAAAAAAACCCCCAACAATCCAGCCCACAAACAAAAACCCAGGACAGCAGAATCTGACAGCATTTTACCCATACATTTTGGAGTAAGACAGCATGAATTGAAGGAAAAATGCATATCCAGAGCATTTGTGGTTTTATCTACACAGGCCTTTCATTGCTAGCAGTTGCAGGAAGGTTTTGTATGCAGGGATCCTTTGGTGAAAGGGATTCAGTTTGAGGCGAGCAGTTACTGTGGCAGAAACCCCTTTCTTTCCCTGTGGCCCTCCAGTGCTCAGAGCACAGAGGGGTTACTCGCTGCTTGTTTGCTCCACAGAAAAAGTCCTCCCATAAATCAGATGTGAACTCACGTTTTCCAGGCATCTGAGGTGAAATGCTCTTGGAAGAGAACCAGACACCGAGGTCTCCAGCATATTTTGCTGTAGCTGCAATGTCTCAGGACACAGCCAGGTCAATGGGTTGTAGGAGGAGGGAGTATTTTTCATTGTATCTGCTAGCAGAGCTGGAAAACTCAGAGGAGGTTTTGAGCACCAAAGCCAATCTGCAAGTCAGTGAGGGCTTTGAGAGATGAGCTTCGACCATGGCTGTTATGGTGTGTTAGACATTACCCCCTTCCACTGCTATGCCCTCTGGTCTGCAGCACCTACAGGGTAGTACACGGGGGACCAGCAGTGACAGAGAGATTTGCCAAAATTTCCCTTTACAAGGCCCACTCTGAAGCCCTTCCACAGGCGCTGTCAGCACTCAGGTAACACAAGGTGTCTGCCAGTGAGAGGGACTGCACAACAGCAGGAAAAATATGGCTAATCCCTTCTGTGGTAAGATCACTTCTCTGATAAATCTGAAGGAAAGAGAAGGTGGAAGTCTGGAAAATGCAGACTGGTATGATACAGTTCAACTGCATTACTTCTTGTTGTAAGACAAGAATGAAAATTAGGCATCATTTTTTATACTGAAAAGTGCTCTGTAGATGTACAATAAACAGGTGCTGGACAGAAAACTTCTTGTACATGGGGTTGCTTTAAACCTGGATGCTCTGGGTACAGAAACTGCATGAAGCGCTTGGCTGGGTCTGTGCAGGGAGATTAGAGGAGCTCAGGCAGCTGCATGAGCCCTGCATTGGCAGAGTTGAGCTGGGAGAGGGAATTGTTGATCCCCCTGACAGTAGGTACCAAAGCTTAAGTGTGACAAGACTGGAGATAGCCAGTGGAGGGGCAGAAAAGGCATTGCATGAACAAGCGCATAGGCAGGAAGGGGGTTCCTAGCAGCTGTGTTTTCTTTTCAAGGGTGAGTCTGTGAGTTAGCTCTTCCCAAGGGCACCCAGGAAGACACCAGAGATGGGGACAGCTATTTGGTTTGCAGCACCCTGGAGGATACTAATTAAAAAGACTGAGCTGAAGTTCTTCCCTTAGAACAAGTGGGGCACTGGCACCAATGCCAGCCGATGCTGCTTGTGGGGGTTTACTATGCCCATGTGAACATCTGTGCATGTAGGGTGGCTTTCATGGTATTTTGGACCTGGTGGTGGGTGCTCTGGGAAAGTGTGGGTGTTGTTACTCTTGTTATAGGCAGCTTTTTGTCAGCATCTGCTCATGTGGAGTGGGCAAAATTCAGCCACATCCCAGTGGGCAGAAAAAGCTTCTGGGGAAAGTCCCTGTATCTAGCAATTCAAGAGACTCCCTGGGAAAGCCCCCAACTATCCACAGCACCAGGTGGTGGAGAAGAGGCCTCAAGCGAGGAGACAGAGTTGTGTATGGGTGGAAACTCCCCTGCCCACCCCAGAGCCTGACTTTGGGCTGGGCTTGTAGGTGAGGATACAGTAATGCTGCCTGGGGTATTAGCTGGGCTCCTGCAGAGAACACAAAGAGAAGGAACAGCAACCGCTTTTGTTTGGTTTGTTATTCCATGCTACGTGCTCCACAGCAAAGCACCAACTTTCCCTGCTCCAGAGAAGCTGAGGGCTTTATCTACTGGGTTCCCTTTAAATCTTTCTTCTGGCCAATGTCTTCCCCTGAAAGCCACTGCCTTTTGATCCACACATCAGCCCCTGGAACTGCCCCTCCTCCAAACTGGAGAGCCTTTCTGACTGCAGCTCTCACTCTGCCTCTGCATCGCCTCCCTTCTGCCCTCCAAGCAGCTTGCTCCTGCTCATCTCTGGTATAGATTCCCAAAGCTGCACCCCTGGAGCAGCTGCTCTGCAGGATGAATTTGGCAGCCGTGTTTGCCAAAGAGTAGAGCCTTTCTTTCTGAGGTGGGGAGGAAAGATGGCAAGCAATGAACGGACATATCTGGTATGCATAATGGAAAGCATGGATCTGTATGTTGTATACATGAAGTGGGAATGTCGAAGAAGTAATAGAGATACCATGGATGTACCTACATGCATATGCAATGCATTTGCTCTCTGTGTCGGCAGCAACCAGCATTGCAAGGTTGTATCTCCATGGTCTTGCCACCTTCTTGCCCACAAAGGACTCAAATTCTCTCCAGCCATGACTGCTTTGTGCCTGTGCAGCAGATCATTCACAAAACGCTGCCAAGTCCAGGGGGCAAGGCTAGTTCTGGTCATGTACCTACCCTTGTGCAGAGCCCACCGCGCGTTCCTTGCAATGAGCACTCTGTCACACCAAAGCTCACACAAAAGCCTGCTGCAAGTGCAGCCCAGGCTCCAGTTGTCTGCACATGGGGTTAATGCTATACCCGTGGTGGTATACCTGCCAGGGCAGACGCACGGCAATGCAGACCATCTGGAAAGCAGAAAGCCTTCCCTCCAGGAATGTCTGGAGTGAAGTTTCATGGAAGCCATGGAAAATGTGAGGATGGTGAATAACCCTGCAGACAGTGGTTATTGGTTTATTAAAGCCTCTTGGTTTATTAAAGCCTCCAATACAGAAGAAATAGGTCCAGGTTGCAACTGGAAACCAGGAATCATGTCACCTCTAGGAAGAAGAGGGCCATTTTGATATGCCTGTCAGATTGAAATCATACTTGCTGTTGACCATTAAGCATACAAGGCATCTGGCTGTTTGTTTTTCCTGCACCTTAGAGATGCCATTTCTCTGTCAAAAGAATAAGCAGTTTTCCCCCATTTCTTTCCCTCCCCAAGCCACTGGACTCAGCCAGTTCTCAGGATGTGTCCCTGCTGAAGAGTGACAAAGCCGCGTTGTTTTTCAACTGAGGAAAGAACAAAGGCTGCACCTTCCCAAAGTGCCAGGCTTCTGACCTCAGTCAAGGTACCGCTTTGCCCCTGTTTGTGTGGGCCCAGTGACACCACCACGCCAGGAGGACTGTGGGAACCAACAGGCATGAGTAATTAGGCCAAGCCTTGCAAAATGCCAGAGCCCCTATTCAGAGCTTCTGCTTTTCAGCTAAAATCCACTGCTGAAAATAAAATCCAAAGGATGGCCCTGTTTGAGTACTTGGTGTGCCCATGGTGCATGACAAAGGGGTTATTTATTGCCAGCATGCCAAGAATAGGATATTACAGGGAGAGGGAGGGTGGCAAAGCCTATCCCTGAGCAAGCTGGGACTTTTTATCGCGTTACTGAGGTAACCACTGCAAGTGCACACACCAGAGATGTCAGGAGTCATCAAGGTCTTCTGTAACACTTCCAAAAAGGGTCCTTCCGGAGCCCACAAACTTACTGGCTGCCACTGTCACGCTGGCTGGAGTTCAGCTCTCCCCTCAGACCCTGGTTGTACATTTACTGTGCTTGCATGTGGTTCTTGCTTGGCAACAGAACGCTCCTGTGCTTAGATGAGGCCAGCAGTAATGTGAGATTTCCCTCACTCGTCCCTTAAGAATCAGTGCCAATGGCAAAAATCAGAAGGTGGCTGCACATCAGTAGGGCAGGTAAACTGGAGGCTGCCCAGGCCTGTCCTACCAGCGCACTGGTGGGGAAGTGACTGCCTGGGTCACCCCATCCAGTTCCCTGCTGTTATGAGCACCACATAAAAGCCTGTCCTGCCCAGCACATTTCACAGAACATTTTCTTCCCATGCCTCAATGCACCCTAGACCACAAAGCACTTCCTGACCATCCTTGAGCCAATTTAGATCAATAGGGCAAAAGATCAAAAGCCACAAACTCTGCTGTGCCAGAGGGGGATGGCAGGAATTCTCAAGGACGTTGCCAGCTTGGCAGGAGAAGGATGCTTACAAGATGAAAACGCAGGGAGAAGTCTGCAGAGGAAGAATCCTGGGAAACATGCTCTCAGGTTGCTCACGCTTTTAGGAAGTTTGTAGGAAGTGTGGGGAAGCTCAAACTGCATGTATGATGTGCAGCTGAGAAAAGATTTGGGATCAGGTTGTGAATGGCAAGCCCCACCAACCATGCATTTTGCACTCCCATTGCTTGCTCTTTTCTGGCCTGCAGAGATAGGATTCTGCTCACATAACTTCAGAGGTCTATGGAGTAGACATCTCAGTGTGAGCTCACTGTCCTCTTCTCCCTGGGTAGATAATAGAAAGAAATAGCCGCTCCATGGGCACACTCCATCTAACCCATGTTAGCCATCTCCATCATAAAGTCAGGCATTGCTCTCAGAATGGGCCATATCCATTGACTAGGGAGCAAGCTCCAAAGAAGATACTTAATTGCAAGTCACCTGAGCAGAAGGATCTTGCCCAAAACACCCACCTTGTGCTCGGGAAGAACTGAGTTTAGAAGACCTGATGGAGGACTGGGCTGGAGCATACTTTGCTTCTCCTATGAGCCCCTTGAATCCTTTCCGTGGATTGGGTGAGAGCTGGGGTCTCCCTCTTCGTAGCATCCTGGAGCTCAATTGAAAATTGTGCCCAAGCACAGCCTCATGTAGAGCCTATGTAGCAGCAGAGAACGTGACGGAAATGTGAAGATTGGTATGAAAGGCGAATGAATGAGAATATTGATATGCAAAGCTCCCAAAGCAGTAATGGGCAGGAGGGGGACAGGAGGGATTGCAGTTCTTGCTGGCACCTGGGCTGGCAGGTCTTTGAGAAGTACATCTATAGTATCTATATTGACTCTACACTGAAAGGGACAGAAGCACTCGTCTGCCGGCCAGACCCTGTCTCAAGGGAGGTGTGTTGCCTACCGGGGGCATGGATCAGGGATGTGGCAGAGAGGCTGCCTACTCTAGTAAGTCCCACGGACTATTACCCACTCCTGGTGATACATGTGGGTGCTAGGGACATAGATAGTAGTAGCCTGGGGAACATAAGGAAGGACTACAGAGCCCTGGGGAGGTGGTTAGGGGCTCTGGAGCTCAGATTGTCTTTTCATCAATTCTCCAGGGTACAGGGGAGGACCTAAAAAAAGCTGGGAGGATCGGCTAGGTTAATAACTGGTTAAAAGGGTGGTGTCATAGTCAGGGGTTTGGGTGTCTTGAACACGGGACCCAAGCTTGTAGGCCAGGTCTAGTGGGGGCTGGTGGAGCTGGTCGATAAGAGCGGTTTTGGTAGGAGGCTTGCCAGACTGGTCAAGGAGGCTTTAAACTAGATGTGTTGGGGGCGGGGGGCATCATTCCATCCCAACACACCCAGTCAGTTGCCAGAACCTATAATAAATGCCTGGAGCAATGTGGAGATATCCCAGCCGCTCCAGCCAATGAGCCAGCTTCAGTTGGAGCTTGGCTCAGATGCCTCTATACAAACGCCCTTAGCATGGGGAACAAACAAGAGGAATTAGAGATATGTGCACGTCTAGAGGGGTATGATATAATAGGCATTGCAGAAACATGGTGGGATGGTTCCTACGACTGGAGTGTTGGAATGGAAGGTTACAGGCTCTTTAGAAAAGACAGGCCTGGCGGGCGGGGAGGGGGAGTTGCCCTTTATGTTAGGGATAGGCTGGAGAGTATGGAACTCTGTCTGGGGACAGGTGAGCAGTCCACAGAGAGTTTGTGGGTCAGGGTTAAAG